AGAAAAGCCAAAACATCATAAAAAGTTTCCTTTTCACATTTATCCTCTAATAAACACTGAAAATAAAAGAACAGAATGAATCACCCTTCAAAAACAAAATCACAGATGCTTGAACCCATAAACCAGGACACACCTTCACCCGATCTCCGTTGGGTCCTGTGGGTTCTGCTGGAAATGCTGGTCTGAAGTTTCCTCTTAAAAACCCTAAAACTTGTGTGAATTTGTGTTTTCAGAGCTGTTGTCACAGTCACTCGCTCTACTGTTTCTAACCACGAATATGAATTGAACTGTTTTTGAGAAAAAGTTACACACTGTTCATACTTTCAAAGTGTGAATTATTAGCTTTAAAAGCTAATAATTAAACAATAAAAAAATAAAATTTAAATACATTTTAAAATAAAAACCAATCAAAATAATATACTTACTTAAAATTAAACAATAAAAATATAAATACAAATTTTAAAAACAAGGACAATTAAAAAAAAATTAAATAAATATTAATTAAAATTAAATCATAAAAATAATTATAAAAAATAAAATTAAATAATTTTAAATGAATAAATTAAATATCATAAAATGTTATATATTCAAAATAAAAGTTAAAAATCAAAATATATCACTATAAAACAATTTGAATAGCCCAGTTCTTTTAAATGTCAAAACATTTTAAATTAAAAAAATTAAAAATTTAATTTTAAGTACAATTAAAACAAAGCAATAAAACATAGTAAAATTAAATTCTTTTAAAATAAAAATTAAAATAAAACCATTACAAAAAATTAAACCATAATGTAAAGTATTTGAAAAAACATCAAAATAAAACTAAATTAATAGTACTTAAACATATTTGAAAACCAAACAAAACAAAAATACTGCAATTTTAATTTTAAAGAGAAAAAAAAAAAAAAAAAATTAAATAATTTAAAAATAAAAAACGAATTTAAATTTAAAAAATATATAAACGTAAAATATTTTAAAAGCCTCAAAATAAAAAACTAATAAAAAATATAAACAATTTAATTATAAAAAATAAATGTAAATAGAATAAAACTAAAAATAAATATATTTTATTTGAAAGAATTAATTACAATTCTAAGGTGAATATGAACTAAGATGGTGGTGTATGAAAAAACTAAATGGCTAAATCACATTTAACTGAACCGCTTTGACACTCTTACTTGAATGTAACGCAGCAGAAATGACTGTAGATGCAGATGTGAAGAAAATTAGCTCAAGAACACGCCGTCGAAAGTTCAGACGGGGCTCAAATGACGTCCTGACATTCGTTTAACTTTAAGAGAATAAAAATGCTGTCGTACTCAACAGCAGGCGAGTCGCTCTTTCAGCAGCTCCATCATCAAAAAGCCTGCAAGACTCACAGATGGCGAGTGTGTGTCTGTATACGCTAAATGACACGAGCGCTGAGGCGGGAGGAATGTCTCCGTGAATGACTCAGGGGCGCTCAACACCTGCTCAAGCCTGCGGGAACCCACCGGGGCCACGAGAAGAGCATGAGGACAGTCAGGAGTGATTTCGGCGCGACAGCTTCCTCATCAGCATCGCTGGAGGTCACCTTAAGGCTGATGATACAAGGGGCAACTTTTTGAGCAATGTTGCCATCAATGGGCAACCAGGTGAGACACTGGGCCCACGACCGATCTAAAGTACCAGATAGAAGTTTGTTACCCATTCTCAACGGGAAAGTGCCCAAGCAACAAAACTGGCAAAATTGCTCAAAAAGTTTCCCAGTGTATCATCAGCATAAGAGAAGATCCTGTAGAACTATAAAACGTTCTCACTGCGGATAAACGCGGCGTCACTCCTCTTCTGAGCGTCTCATGTTGATGCATCTCATGCTAAACTGTTCTCAATGGTTTCTTGTAGAACACAGAACTTCACATGCGGCTGCGTCCCAAATCACATTCTAATTCTACTATAACCTACAAGTGTGTACTTCACTGACGTTGGGAAAGAACATACTTTTGGGTGTGTAGTAACACATTAAGACACAATTCATTAAATCATAAAAATGTTAAATATTTTTAAGATCAAAAATAAAATAAATCATAAAGATGTCAAATTAAATACATTTAAATTAAGCAATAAAAACAAAACACTGAACATGAATCAAAATAATCAAAATGTAAAAAAAATAATTAAAATAACAAAATTAAAACACTTTTATAAAATTAAAAAATTATAAAAATAAAAAATAATTTAAAAATAAAAACAAAAATTAAAAACTGAAATAAATTTTACTTAAAATTAAGATACTTAAATCTTAATGTAAATAAAATACCATAAGTAATTAAATGATAAAAATACACAAAATACATAGTTTTAAAACTTAAAATAAAATATTGACAAACATTTAAATTTAAATTTATGATTAAAAATAAATAAATAAATAAAACACTTACTAAAAATAATAGCATAAATCATAAATGTAAAATCAATAAATGATTAAAATAAAATAAAAACACTTAGGAAAAGTTAATTAAATCATAAAAATGCAAAATTAAAATAAATGATTAAAATAAAAACAAAAAACACTTACTAAAAATTAATTAAATCATAAAAAGGCTAAATTAAAATACATAATTAAAATAAAATAAAAAATAATCAAAATGAACGCTTACTAAAAAAAGATGATTGATTTGATTACCTGCATGTCATGTGGCCATTAACCAACATCATAGAACTGTGTTAATGCGGATGTGTTGTTAAACTATTGAAATACTCATTTATATTCTCTGAGCAATTCTTTAAGGTCAAAGGGGTTCGGCTGACAAAATGTTTTTGAATCTCTGGTTTAAAGAGTTAGATGTTTCTCATCTCAGCCATCGCTCACACCAATCCCAGACCCAACACCAGCGTATCAGGAGCTCTTCCTCACAGAGAAGATGAAGCATGAACATCAGCTGATCAGATTCCTCCTTTACTGTTCAAATGCACTTTCTGGACTCTGTGGATCTTGCTCATGAGTGTACATAAAGAGATGATCAATAATCAACTGCTTAACACAATAAAAGTAATAGAATTATAATAACAACAACAACAACAACAACACAATAATAATAAAACAACAATAGCAGCTGTAGAAACAACATGAACATATTAAGAGCAAAAGATCTTGAGAAAGTTTCCTCTTTGGTTTAGAAACGAACGCCATTCATTCTCAGCTACACAAAGCTACAGGAACTACTTCTTCTATTGCTTCAGACTGATTGAGTTCAACATCTCACATCCTTCATCCATGTTCATCCAAGTTATTTTTGAATTATTTGTGATGTTGTTAATTTAAATAAAGGTTCAGCAGCAAATGTAATGTTTAAGTGGATCAAATTAGATCTTAATGTAAAATTAAAATAGGTACATTTAAAAATTAAAAATAAAAACTAGCTGAATAAATCAGAAATACATGATTTTAAATGAAAACAAAAAAAACAGCATAAAAAAAATCTTACTAAAAATAATTAAATCATAAAACTGTGAAATTAAAATAAATAAATGATTAAATAAAAAACAATCAGATTATTATTACAAAGCAGGCTTATTTTAATTTAAAAATTAAGGTTTAAAAGCAAGTATAATATCAATAATGAAAGATATATTTATATAAAAAAATCTAACATATGAGGCAAAGCAAGCTAAAATAAAGTTAATTTTAAAATTAAGCCTATCGCTCACACCAATCCCAGACCCAACACCAGCGTATCAGGAGCTCTTCCTCACAGAGAAGATGAAGCATGAACATCAGCTGATCAGATTCCTCCTTTACTGTTCAAATGCACTTTCTGGACTCTGTGGATCTTGCTCATGAGTGTACATAAAGAGATGATCAATAATCAACTGCTTAACACAATAAAAGTAATAGAATTATAATAACAACAACAACAATAACAACACAATAATAATAAAACAACAATAGCAGCTGTAGAAACAACATGAACATATTAAGAGCAAAAGATCTTGAGAAAGTTTCCTCTTTGGTTTAGAAATGAATGCCATTCATTCTCAGCTACACAAAGCTACAGGAACTACTTCTTCTATTGCTTCAGACTGATTGAGTTCAACATCTCACATCCTTCATCCATGTTCATCCAAGTTATTTTTGAATTATTTGTGATGTTGTTAATTTAAATAAAGGTTCAGCAGCAAATGTAATGTTTAAGTGGATCAAATTAGATCTTAATGTAAAATTAAAATAGGTACATTTAAAAATTAAAAATAAAAACTAGCTGAATAAATCAGAAATACATGATTTTAAATGAAAACAAAAAAAACAGCATAAAAAAAATCTTACTAAAAATAATTAAATCATAAAACTGTGAAATTAAAATAAATAAATGATTAAATAAAAAACAATCAGATTATTATTACAAAGCAGGCTTATTTTAATTAAAAAATTAAGGTTTAAAAGCAAGTATAATATCAATAATGAAAGATATATTTATATAAAAAAATCTAACATATGAGGCAAAGCAAGCTAAAATAAAGTTAATTTTAAAATTAAGCTTCAACAGCAAATCTAATGTGTAAACAAATCAAAATGTACATATAAAAACAATTAAAAATAAAAAAGCATGTTTATCAATCGCAGCAAACTGCTGTACTGTTTTTCCCTCTTTGTGAAAATTAATGTTCGATAAAATGCAATCCGTTCAGGAAAATTATAATTATTATTCTTCAAGTGAAGAAAAGGTGAAGTCAGGATTCAGTCCCGTCATGATTTACACATGATACCAGATATTAATTATTCAAAATTAAGGCAACTGAGATTTGTGTAAATTCCTATAAAACCAACATTTGACAGAAGAAAATCAACAGAATGTGATATCTTAATATCTGAGGAAGATCATCCGTGTTCTTCTAATCATTTATATATCCACGCAGTGTTTTCATATTTAAGAACTCTCTGAAGAAGATTCAGTCCAACAGACATAAAAAATCATGAAATAAAGCTCATGAAGCGGCCCTGCGGGGGCCTTCAGTCCAGCTGGGAAAGAAGTCAGTGTTTTTGGTGCCGAGGTCACCTGGATGTTCATCGTGTGTCTGTATTTTCAGTGCAGAGCGTCTGATCTCCATCAGAAGGCAACGCTGACGTACATTCACCTCTTCAGGATGCTATCTGAGAACAACACACAGAATCATCATCCATCACACTGAGATAGAAATGCCTCTACAGTGCTCAAACGAAACTAAATTAAACTTTGTAAACTAAATTAACTAAATGAAACAATAATGCTTGTATCCGTTAGTTTTGCATTAGGTATTATGAACAGGTATTGTGAACTAACAATGAACAATACGTTTGCGGCATTTATTAATATATTAATAAAATATATTACAACATTCATATGAATGCATTAAAAAAACAATATGTTTACAGCATTTATTGACACACACACACACACACACATGCACACACACACACACAC